TGGACCCCCGCGCACTTCTCGGCACGGCTGCGGGCGGCCTTGGGCGAGCGGCCGGGGGTCACCAGCAAGGCCCGGCCAGCTTTGGGGGTGGTGGGCTCCGACTTGGTGCTGCTTTCACCCTCCGACTCGGGGCCCCGCGGCTCCTCCTTCCCCTTCAGCTTCTCCTCCAGGCTCTCGTCCAGCTCGGGGCAGCTCTCTGGCGCCGGCAGCGATTGGCAGGGGGCGAAGCTCTCCCGGCGCTGTGGCGGCTCCGACTGCTTCTTGCTCAGCCGAGGGTTGTCTGCGCCCGGCGGGGGGAAGAGTCAGGGCACGGAGGTGGCCACCATCCCCGGACCTCCCTGCGCCTGGGGACCCGGCTGGCTGCACCACGGGAGCTGCTGAGCTGGAGGACCGGGGCGATGCCCGGCGGCTTGTCTGTCCCCACACTGTCCTCTCCATCCCTACGCCCTCTTCTCCATCCCCATCCCTGCCCTCTCCATCCCCACGCTGTCCCGATGATCCCACCTTGGGGATGGGGACGGTTCCCACGGGAGTGGCATGGTGCGTCCCTCTTACCGTCGCTGGCGAAGGGGACGGAGCTGAGCGAGTCCATGCTCTTGGCTGGCCGCAAGCTTATTTTGTCGCACTTGTTATCTGAGGGAGGGAAGGAGAAGGGGAATGAGGACGCGCGGGGCGGCAGCGGGGCTGGGTCTGGGGACAGGCTGTCCCCCTGAGTGATGGGGTCCCTCCCTCTGGACCCCAGCAGGGGGGACCAGGGCTCCCCACCTTTCTCCTCCGCCTTCACCAGCTTGCGTTTGGCTTCGTGGCTGGAGCGACCCAGGTTGAAGATGGACCTCCACTTCTTGGCCTTGAGGGAGCCCTTCCTCCTGCGGGACCCTGGGCGTCAGGGGCGGCGGGCACGCCTGGGCACGCTCGCGTGCGGGTGTGAGCACACATGGTGCCTTTGGACACGTGTAAGAGCTCATGCGTGCATGCAGGAGAGCACGTGCATGTAAGAACATGTGTGCGTGGGATTACGTGTGCATGGCGCACGCGTGCCGGCGGCGCTGCCCGGGCTGGGGGGGTCCCCGGGGAGGGGAGGGGGTGGCAGTAGGCCCTACCTGTGGTCGCTGAGCTCGATGATGGTGTGGTAGGGCCGGATTGGAGGGGGCCCGTCGCCCTGGCTGAGTGTGGCCGGCACGTGGTACGGCGGGGGCTGCCTGTCCCCTGTCCCCCCCCCGCCCAGCAGCAGGGACCGCCGGGGGCACTCGCTGCCTGTGGGCCACCGAGATGGGGCGTCAGGGTCCCGCTGGGGACCCCCTCGCCATCTGCGTTCCCCCGCCTCCCCGGCCAGGACGTACTGCAGAGAGGAGCGTCCCCGAAGAGCTGCTCGACGTGGGTGAGGATGAACTCCACCACGATGGACTGGACGCGCACCTCCATGAACGCCGCCGTGCCGTTGAACCCCGTCGCCTCGATGTCCTTCGACCTGCCGCGGGGACGCCAGGAGCAGCTCTTAGGCTCCCCGGGGAAGGGGGGTGGTCGTCACCCTGAGCCCCCGAGCCCCCGTCCCTGGCGCTCACCGCAGCAGGTTGGGTGCCCAGACGATGGCCAGGTTCCTGGCGTGCATGTTGGTCTGGCTGCTGTAGGACGCCATGTGCAGGAGGTGCCTCATCAGGAACTCCAGGGTCCTGCAGGCACCGTGGCGCGTTAGGAGCAGCGATGCCCGGGGGGACACCGGGTTTGGGGTCCCCCCCCGCCCCCCTACCTATAGTGGGGCACCGGCAGCTCCTTCAGCACTTCCTTGATCTTCCCCCGACCAGCCTCTTCCATCTGGATGGCCACCGCGTCCTGCCGGGGGACAGGGATGGGGTGACAAGTGCCACATCCCGGGGTTGGGGACGGGTGGCAGCGCTGGGGGGGGACACACTCACAGCAAATTTGTCATAGAGCTGGTAGGTGAGGAGGGGGTTGGGGAGCTCACGGAAATACGCCTTGCAGAGGGAGCTGACGCAGTGGATGTCCTGCAGGTAGACGTCCTTCTGCAGGTCGGGGCAGCGGTCGCTGTCGAACTCCTGCCTGTGAGCGAGGTGGCCGGCTCGGCGGCGGGGATGGGGACAGGGACGGCGCCGTCCCCCTCCTCAGCCCCACTTGGCTGCTGTGCCGTGGAGGGTGTTTGCTGGGGCGGGCTGGGATGTGTCCCCAGCGCGTCCCCGTGCTCGTGGAGGCGGGGAGGGTGTCTGGTCCCTGCCAGCAGGGCTCGGGGACGCACAGGGACCATCGCGCTCCCTGGGGAATTGC